GATACCATCTTACACCTGTCATAATGGCTAAAATCAAAAACACCCATGACAGTTTAGGCTGGAGAGGATGTAGAGAAAGGGGAACACTTCTCCACTGCTGTTGGGAGTGCCAACTTGTACAGCCACTTTGGAAATCAGTATGGTGATTCCTCAGGAAAATGGGAATTACTCTACCACAAGATCCAGAAATTCCACTCTTATACCCAAAAGAAATACATTCACACAACAAGGACATCTGTTCATTGATGTACATCACAGCATTATTTGTAATAGCCAGAACCTGGAAACAAGCTAGATGCCCCAAAACTTTTTAATGCAGAAACATGATCTGAATTTACTTATAAAGGTTGCATAAACTAAACTGGTACTTATTTACAACAGAAATAAACTCCTTTAACGGATGAGTTCTTTGATGTATTCTGCCAACCATTTAATAAAGATAAATACTAACACTCAAACTCTCCCAAAAGATAGTAGAACATGGACTATGCCCCTCTCTTTTTGTTGCCCAAATCAAAATTACCTCCTTTCATAAAGCCAAACAGATTTCTTATGCGACTAAAACCCAAACCAACAATGCCTTAATAAGAATAAAGCAATAACAATCACCTACCACACAATACTAGAGACTGAGTCCAGCTGAATAGTAAAACAATTTACACACTATATGATTTTTCTAAGTTATTGATAGGTGCATGATACCAGTAACACTATTATTGCAGATGGTGATTTCATTTCATAAAACCCAAAATGTTTTCAGGATTTAAATAAAAGCAGATGATAAATTAGTAACAGGAGGGAACAACCAATATGTCAACACACTATGATGAGACTGGAAACTTTATTCAGCTATCACTAACAAGAATATAATATTCATCGCCTTAATTCAAAACTCAGAGTGCCAAGGAATGAATAAATGCTCTGGTTTTTATGATTTGTTCTCTAGGAGATGTGGCAATGCTCATACAATAGAAAAAAGACTAGGTTATTGGGACACTTCCATTATGGATGGAGTCACTCTGGTGTTCTGTGATAGAACTCTTTCTCAGGAGAAAGGGCTATTGCAGAATGTGGCTCCTCTGCACAGACAGGTTTCCCAATCCATAAGGACTCTCAGGAGGGCAATGAGATGCCTCCTGAAACTCATCAATGAGAAGAGATTGTGAGTCTCCTGGGGAAATTAAAATGAAAAGGACTGAGAACACAGAAACATTTTAGTATAATATGATTAGGGTTCATTGATTCCCAGGAAAAGAGAAAGTGGGGATAAGTCTTTGGAGTAGTAAGGCATGAATACACACACACACTCACTCAAGTGTGTGTGTGTGTGTGTGTGTGTGTGTGTGTGAGAGAGAGAGAGAGAGAGAGGAGAGAGAGAGAGAGAGAGAGAGAGAGAGAGAGAGAGAGAAAGATGGGAGCATTGCCTTGAAGGACATGGTGCTCTCTCCTGACATCAGGAATGGTTCCTCACCTTAAAAAAGCCATTTCAGTACAATGTAGAGATGAGGAGGAGGGGGATGGTGTGCGTCTCCTGTATGTTGTAAGGAAAGAATGAAGAGAAAGACAGGAGTGGCTAATCAGAAGCAGATACCACCTAATTATCTCTTCAATTGCCGTGATTGGAGGTATGTAACACAGTTAATTTATCAAGACTAGGTTTGGGGAGAGTGAAATAAAATATATTAAAAAACATCTGATACTCAAAACATTTTCCATTCTTTTTTGTAATTCTATATGGTTATTGTCTCCTTTTGTTGAGGCTAATAAAGTTTATGCAGACTTGAGCATCCATCTCAGAAAACAGCTGTCTATTATTGTTAGTTGTTTGTTTCATGGAAAATTAGAGCTCATTTGTTACTGTGATACTCATGTTCTATGACAAAATATAATCTAATCAAGTGATCCCACCGTTGCTACTGGGTTGGCCTAAAGTGTCATTCAGCTGCATAAATGGTCCTTGGTCAGTGAATGTGGCAAAACTGGGAAGCCAGGAATGAACCTCCTAATAATCTTTTCCTGAACAAGCTACAAAAGTTGTGTGTGCTATTATAGAATTTCAGAAATAGTTATTATATAATAGTGAAACTTTCACTTCCTAATAGTTTCTACATACACACACTGCAGTGTTCAGAAACAGTATCTAACACTGTGTCATGACTTTAAAAGATCAGATAAGGGACCAAACCCACCAATGAACATTTCTAACCTCATTGACACCAGGGGAAAATGAGATTTTTTTACCAGTATCATTCACAAAGTAGTACCATGTAGAGTGAGCTTGACTTGGGTCTCTGGGATATGTAAGGTATCATCATGCAAAACCAAGACTGTAATATATAAAGATCCTCTCATCTCATGCACCATCTCTTGCATATATGCAGATGCCAATAAAAACACAACTGTTGGTAGGAACCTCCAGACATTACCAGTGTGTAGTGCACACTTTATTTTTTCTTTTTTTAATTTTTATTTTAATTAGAAAGAAGATTATTTTACATGTCAATGCCAGATTCCTCTGCCTCCCCTCCCCTGTACCCCCAACTAACACCCTACCTAACCCATATCATATCGGCTCCCCAGGTAGGGTGAGGCCTTCCTTAGAGGCCTTCCTTCAGAGTCTGTCATATCCTTTGGGATTGGGCTTAAGCCCACCCCCTTTTGTCTAGGCTTAGGGAGTATCCCTCCATGTGGGATGGACTCCCAAAGTCCATTCTTATGCTAGGGATAAGTACTGATCCACCATGAGGGGTAGTGCACACTTTATAACACTGAAGGTTGATGTATAAAACAGAGCTGAGTATTGGTAGGAACCACTTAAAGCAGCTTCACTAGGAAGATGGGGAAGATTATGTCATGCAGTGTTTACAAGGAGCTAGTGAATCCAAATTTATGTGAAGAAAATGTAAGTTGTGATGAGAGGCAGATGGGACATTCACATCAAAGTGTTCTGACTCTTATTTCTTTCTTAAGAATCTGATACGCCTTCAGAGTAAATCATTCTCATTCCACAGATTGAGATGAAAATATATCATTTAGGTTGTGTTTCCTAAACATAATACAGCTGTGTGTAGGTATACAACTATGTTCATGTCCTGTGTAGCTGATAAGCATTCAGCACCTGAGCAACTTTTTATGTGATTTGGGGAATTAACTTACTTCTCATTGCACAACGTCATGAGGAATATATTTTTTCTCAGCCCCTTGTGTAAGTGGTCAAATTGAGGAATAGAGTTTGAACAAATAATGTTATGCAACATTGTTGTCTATACTAAGATTTTAACTCATACACAACCTCCCAGAGTGATCCCTTGTTCTACACTATGTACAACGGTGTGTGTTTCTGCATGGATATACAGGCATACAAGTACATGTGACATGTATGTATGTACATGATTTACATATATCCATGATCCTGCTTAAATAATTATTTGTAATAATAATTTGAAATCCCTGAAGCCCTCCTTTGGTTTGTGGATCAACCATAATGTGATATACACACATACAACATAGCATGACCTGGTGAAATCTGGTGATAGCAAGTGAATAGAGGGAGGACCAAACACCTGATGGTATCACCTATTCTGCCCTTGTTGGAGAAAATATGGCATATTCAGATTTTTTGCAGAAAAAAAAACAAACTTCAGCAGAACCACATAAACCCCAGAAAACAGTAAGGGTCATCTCATTTGGAAGGAAAAATATCAGACTGAGAGAAAAACAAGTAAGATGAATCTGAAATGTGTGAGGTTCATGAGATTGAACTTCACAGGATGGGCAGTGATGGGCAGAATAAATAATGAGGCAGAGTAAGGTGAACACTGAAGCTTCTCGTTACATGAGAACTTATGGGTTAGTAAAGATGGCAAACGCAATGATTAGAAAAGTGAAGTCCACACTCAGTCTCTGTATAAGGCTACACTCAGAAAGAAATGAGAAGTAGGAATCACCACAGTGGCAAATGCTATTTTAGCAGCTGTAGTGTGAAAAGCATGGAGTGTAACTGCTAGGTGAAAGAGTTGGGTGATTTTCAGAAAAAAAGCTGGGCTGGAACTGGAGAGTTTATTAGATAACCAATCAAACAAGCACACAGCAGCCTCAATGAGTGACCTGAGTCACAGGATCTCATGAATTGTATTAAAAAAAAAAGAAACTTATCATGTAGGCAATGAAACTCTCAGTGAGAAATCATGCTCTAATAAATGATGGGAACTACCAAGATACATAAATAAGCTGCCATGCTGATGTATCTCAGCAGTGAACACATGGTGCATTGAGGAGTAATGGTGCTTCTCTTTCATGTCTCAACTTGTCCATCTTTTCCAAGAAGCTTCTCTGTCTTTAAGCCCATGCATTGCAGTACTCATTTTTTAATGAATGGTTATTTGATTTTGCTATTCCTTCAGGAAAATAAGAGTCTTATTTGAGGAAATGGTATTTTTAATACCTGGATCTGAGTAACAACAATAGCAATCACAGAACCCTCTGGGTTCAAAACTCTCTAAGAAGGGTTAGAGAGATGGTATCCATGACAACAGGAAAGCATAGATATGAGTACATAGGAGAAGAGCTTTTCGAGGTAACATAGATATCTGGTCAATGAGAAGCATGCAGGAAGAATTGAACCACAATTAATGTTTTTCCTTTTCTTTTAATTGAATGATATTGTACTTTATAAGTGAGGCTGAACTCAAACCAATGGTAAGACTCTTGCCTCAGCTTCATCAGTACCGAGAATACAAGTATACACCACCTTGCCTACATCCTTGGACACTTGATATAATGCTCAGTAAACTTTGGAGAAAATCACCTGATGTGATACACAAAGAAAGTGTAGGATAGGAGAATCCGTAAGGATGAATCATTACTTCTAAACTTTACTTTTAGGACAGCAGGTAAAAATTCTCTCTCTGACTCAACTGAGACTCTAAAATTATTAAATTGAATAATTTCCCTCATCTGCAAGAATCCTTCTAGTGACTTGCTGCTCTCTCCTCCAGGAGATGACTGTCAATTGCTCTCTGTGGCAGGAGAACAGCTTGTCTGTCAAACGCTTTGTATTTGCCAAGTTCTCTGAGGACCCTGGAGAATGCTTCCTCCTGTTCATCTTCATCCTCTTCATGTTCCTGGCATCACTGACAGGAAACACACTCATAGCCCTCGCTATTTGCACCAGTCCAGCTCTACACACACCCATGTACTTTTTCCTGGCCAACTTGTCTCTCCTGGAGATTGGCTACACTTGCTCTGTCATACCCAAGATGCTGCAGAGCCTTGTGACTGAGGCGCGAGGGATTTCTCGAGAGGGTTGTGCCACACAGATATTTTTCTTCACATTCTTTGGAATAACTGAGTGCTGCCTCTTGGCAGCCATGGCCTTTGACCGCTACATGGCCATATGCTCCCCACTCCACTACGCAACATGAATGAGTCATGTGGCATGTGCCCATTTGGCAATGGTTTCATGGGGAATGGGATGCATAGTAGGGTTGGGACAGACCAATTTTATTTTTTCTTGGGACCTCTGTGGTCCCTGTGAGATAGACCACTTCTTCTGCGACCTTTCACCTCTCCTGGCACTTGCTTGTGGAGATACATCCCATAACGAGGCTGCAGTTTTTGTGGCAGCAATCCTCTGCATATCCAGTCCATTTTTACTGATCATTTCTTCCTATGTCAGAATTCTGATTTTAGTGCTGGTGATGCCGTCACCTGAGGGACGCCATAAAATTCTCTCTACCTGTTCTTCCCACCTACTTGTAGTCACACTCTTCTATGGCTCAGGATCCATTACTTACTTGAGGCCCAAGGCGAGCCACTCACCAGGAACAGATAAATTCTTGGCCCTCTTCTATACAGCGGTGACATCCATGCTGAACCCTATCATCTATAGTTTACGGAACAAGGAAGTCAAAGCAGCACTGAGGAGAACTCTGGGCCTGAGAAATACTCTAACAATGAATAGGTAACAGTACCATGCAGTTCTGTTCACTAACAAAAATGCACAAGGAGTCAGAGTAAACAAACAAACATTGGTACATTTTTCTATCTGGCTTACATTGAGTATCTTCCTAATTTTGAAGGTACCTCTGTATTAGTTTGGCCAATAGCCAGGCAGATACTATAGGCAAGACTACCAGACTAGGAGAATTCTGGAGAAAGGGAGATAGAGTGTGATATCGAGGAAGACGCTGTATAGTGCCTGAGAAAGCAAGAGGTCTGAGAATCACTGAATAAGCCAAGAGTTCATGGAGATACACAGAAAGTAGACATGGGTTAAGAATTAAGAGAGAGCTAGAAAGTAAAGAAGCATAAGCCATCAGCCAAATAGTTTATAATCAATCAATATAAGTCTCTATATATTTATTTGGGGCTAAACAGCTGTGGGACAAGGTGGGACAGAAATACCACCTACAGTCAAATACTAAGGAATACAAGTAAAGAGTCCAATGCAGTAGAGAGTATTCTATTATGTTTAGGGTTCAAGTTGACAATCTCAATTAACTAGTTATATCTCAGGAGTCTTGCAAATCCTAGCCCCTGATGAACCCATGACTTCTGCTTTCTGTCCAGATATATCTCACATGAATCTTTATTAAATAGTAACTGTATGCATGGTCTTATTTCAATCTATATCTCTACTTTTTCTATTTTTATAGTACCATATACTAAATGTTCCTGTATTCTTTCATAAATTATGTATACCAAAATGTGTAAGCATTATGATACACTGAACTTTTAACAGTTGAAACTATTTACTTTAAAATATTAAACAAAACATGAGAAATATTTTCAGGAGTTTTCATATGTAAAAATTTCACTACTTTGGAGTCCACAGGCCAGTCAGGACAGGGAAGCAGGTCATTTAACTGCATGTATTCACCTCTCTCCACTACTCCAAGTCCTATCCCCGGTGTCAATCCTAGTTCTGCAACAGAACACCTCCTGTAGTCTCCCCTTTCATGGTTTTATTTTTCTTCATAGCTGAATATTCATAAATATATATATGGTATATTTTTTATATTCATTCATCTGTTGACAGTCATCTAATTTGATTACATTTTCTAGATATTATAAATAGATCATTAAACAAGTCATATATGAAGCCCATTAGACATATGATCAGGAGTGTTATATCTAGGTCTTTTGGCAGTTCTATTGTTAGTTCTTTGAGAAAACTCCAGGCTTCACTAGTTTACACTCTTATCATCAGGATATAAAAGCTCCACTTTTGTCATATTAATGCCAGGATATTGAAGATGTGGTAAAGGAAGTCCACAAACACCCAAATAAAAGATTAACAGATATTTACTTGGAGAGCCCTCACACAATAAAGGTAAATAGCTACCATAGTCTTCTGCCTCTGGAGGCACAGGATGCTGCCATGCTCAGACCACAACCCAAGAGGGAGAGCAAGGCTCCACCTTTTCCTTATAAGGGATCACATCTGTACACTGAAGCCACACCTTAAGGCCACACCTTAAGGACAGAACAAGATGCCACTAAACTTCCCCCATTTGTCTAAATAAGAGGGTTTTAAACCTGATACAAAAACTATATACAATAATAACAAATACCAAGTATAGTACAGGACAAAGAAAGCTAAAAAACATACAAATTTAGAACTACAACCAGCAAGAGCAACATTAAGCAAGAAACACATACTAAATGTCCAGGCCAAGGATAATGTCATATTACAGAGATTACTACAATAGCCGTCTTATTCTGAAAAGTCTAAGTCTTGAACCTAATATGTAGTAGCTAAGATAAAAGATGATATTAGCTGTGACCATCTAGTCTTCAACCTCATCGGAGACCTAAAAAGGAAAATAACCTTACTTGGGTAAGCAGGAAATATAAGCAGGTGACTTCCTAAAGGTGCTATAAATGACAGAAACAATTGGCTACCTGGACAGTCACCCAAGGTCAAGCAGTAACTTCAGGACAAACAACTTTGCCTAGGACCTAGAGTATCTGACTGACCATTATCAGAAGCAAGAAAATTTAAAAGACTGTCTTGACAAGATTCAATAGTCTGTTTTTGCTTATATCTTGCTTGTCGAGTTAGAACCGCATGCTTTCTGTCATCAGTCAAAGCAAGGGCAGTCCTTTGCCCAATAGGCCAGTTTTGCCAGGAAGAAAATGAACTCCAAATGGAGTTTCACCAGTGCCCATCATACACTTGGAAATAGCTTGGTGCTGCCAGGAGCAATTGTGTCTCAAATCAACAAGTTCTAAATTATTAAAACATTTAAATGGCATATTCTGCAGATCTTTGAAGTGTTTGAAGTTCAATTATCTATGCTGCGTACATCTCTGAGCATTTAGAAAACCTGACTAATTCTCAAACACATATATTGCTTACTGACTGAAGCTTCCCATATATAAAATAATCTTTAAACAGATGTGCAGCATGAGGACAATGACCTCAAAACACACACACACACACACACACACACCTTGATCAGAGGTAGAACTGTATAGTGCAATATGACAAAATATCCTTAAATTGTAACAATTCACAAAATTTTTCAGCATATGTAGATACACATATACATACAATGTGATAAAAATAACTTTATATTCCTATGCCAAAACATTGTAAACAGAATGAGGAACCTACGCAATATGACAAATACAATTTCAAGTTTGAAACAGTATACAAATTATCTAAGACAGGAATACAAAATAAATTTTACAGCATATGCTGTCATTTGTATTACTGAAGATGGTCACTATGACTGGGGTAAGGTCAGATCATGAACTAGTTTAATTAGTTAATTAATTAAATCTAATTCAACTGATAGATAAGTGTATTGAGTACTTTTTAAGTGTTTCCTAGAAATTCACATTTCTTCCTTTGAGAATTTTCTGATTGGTTCTATACCCCCCCCCATTTTAAATTGCATTATCTTCTTGATTCAAAAAAATTCTTTGTATATTCTAGATCAGTATTTCTCAACCTGTGGACCATGACCCCTTTAGAGGTAGCAGTTCAGTTTTTAGCACTAGCAAAATTACAGTTATGAAGTAACAATGAAATAATTTTATGATTGGGGTCTCCACAACATGAGCTGTATAAAGGGTCACAGCATAATTTTCTTTCTAATTAAAATTTAAAAAAAGAAATTAAAAAAGCGTCACAGCATTAGAATGGTTAAGAACCATTGTTCTATACAGTAATTGTCTACTCATAAGTAGCTGACAAAAATTTTTTCTCTCATTCTGCAGGCTGCATATTCTCTTGCTTCATAGCTTCCTTTGCTTTACAGTAGCTTTCCACCAAAATCCCCCTACAGTTTTTAAGCACATTCAGCGAAGTTGCCGAGCACAAAAGTAGCATACAAAAATCAATATCTCACTTATGCATTAAAGAAAAATAGACTTAAAGGGAAGTTGGAAAAATAACTCCATTCACAAAATCTCCTAAAAACATCTAGAAATAAACTTAACCAATAAAATGAAAGTCCTCTCCAAAGCTACACAGAGAAACCCTGTCTCAAAAAACAAAAAAGAATGAAAGACCTGTACAATATAAATTTAAGGCAATGAAGTAAGAAATTGAAGAAGACACTAGAAGATGGAAGGGTTTCCCTTGCTCATGGATTCAAAGAACCAATATTTTGAAAATGACCACCTCCCAAAAGGATTCAACAAATCCAGTGCAATCATAATCAAAATCCCAATTCCTTCTTCACAGACAGAAAATATCCCAAAAAATTATATAATGGTACAAAATACTGAGGTTAGCCCAAGAAATTCTTTAAAAAAAATAAAGGTACTATATGAGGCATATCATCACAATTGAGTTCAGATTACACTACAGATTACACTACAGAGCTGTAGTAATAAAAACAGCATGGTACTGTCACAAAAACAGATAACAGTGGTCTAGAACTGAGGACTCAGCTATAAACCCATGATCCTACAGCCACTTAATTTTTTACAAAGATACAAAACTGACAAAAAGGAGAGAATCTATAGCAAATGGTATTGAAATAACTGGAACTTATAATGCAGAAAAATGGAATTCAGTTCTTATCTTTCATGATGCACAAAACTCACTTCCGTATGGATCAAGGACCTCCACATAAGACCTGATACCCTGTTACTACTACAAGCAAAAGTAGGTAATTTACTTCAACTTATAGAAATAGTTGAAGACTTTCTGAATAATACTCTAGTAGTACAGCAAATAAGACCAACGACCAACAAATATGATCTAATTTAACTAAATGTACTTTGTTTCCTATTGGCCATAAATAGTTATGGATGCACTTAGATGTAAGAGAAGCTGAGATATCTTCTCAAACTAAATGGAGTTAACACTCTTCCCATATTGGTTCTTATGCTGTCATTGTGAGGGTCAGGCACCCGTGCAAGAGGAAAAACAACTTCATTGTTCAATTCCCATAAAACTAATAGAATCCCCCTTAGCACTCTTTTCCAGAATAGTAACAGCTAATATCTAAATTATAATTAAATTCAAGCGATTATGTTTTAATTCAGGAAAACTATATGCAAAAGTATGAACACAAGGGTTTAAGGCCGAGACAGCATGTATTGCATGTGAACTGTCACAGACAGCATTGTGCCTAGTCAGTGTTGCAAGACTTTTGATAGAAATAAGTTGGACCATTACCAAAATCACATGTGATTAGGAAAGTGTTAAAATTTTTTAATTTAAATATTTACAGTAAACATGACAAACATAAGTTTCATTAAAAGATGATGTGAAAATCAATTATGTAGTTGTCATGACTATTTTCATGACTCTTGGAAAAACAAAAAAATTAATAATTTATATTAATATTTCCAATTGTCAAATTTTATGTCCCAATACTACATTTCATTTCATGTCACAGGATAAGGAGCACTTACAATAGCAGTTGCCATTAAATCACATCATTCATTACATTTAGTGCTGATTTGTCCACTAATTATATTTACTTCTTTTCCTTCCAAATGT